TAGTAATAGTTTTTTCTTTGAATAATGTTTTAACTAGTTTGCTCATTTTTCTTGATGTATGTCAGGTTAAAGTCAGTATTTTACTGAGTAAATTTAGACATATCATTTAATATATTTATCATTAAGGAATCATAGTTTTGTTAGTAAAATCACGATAAAGATTCCTTCATCGGCTCTTTGGATGACAATGTCTTCATTGTTTCTAAGAAATCCCCAGACACAGCTTCATATATGTCTTTGAACGACATTTCCCCAGACATTCCTAATCTTATGCAAATAGTTCGCATAACGTATTCTGCACTTTTATATATATCAAATTTATTTTTTTTGTTCAGTCATAAATAAATAATCTGTCAAGACACGCCGATTGATATGCTCATGCATAAGTAACCAATATCAATTCTAAAATTTAAACACATTATTAAATTTTTGAATGTTGATTTAACTATTAAAACCTTTTTTATCGTTAATACTTGTGTATTTGAGAATGATCGCACCAGTGATGAAATGTTATACCTGTTGTACAGAAATATTCTTCCTTACTGTAAAAACTTATCTTGTAATATAACAATATCCAACTATTAACTATTTGTCTTGCAATACGGCCATTGGCAGTAGATTTTTTAATTATAATAATGTGTTAATAGCATTCCCAATTTAATATTTGATCGGTATATATATGCGGGTTTCACAAAATATATGGTCGAGATTATGTCGATTTCGTTCTAGTTGCCTTTGTTCCTCATTTTATCTCTATTAGATAATACCTGTACTACCCGAGAAAAATATTGTTAATTGCGAAATGTCGTGCGAGACCATCGACAATTGTGTCCTTCAATGGTCGTTCAGGTGATATCTTTAGACTATGGCTTCAACTATATTGTAACGAAAATGGCCAGCCATGTGGTAAGCGCTAGTCAATTTAAGGTGAATGCAACGTTTATCTCAAACTAAGGATTGTAGGATTTAGACAGACTGGAACATGGTCTTGAAGGAGAAACAGTTCAGAAAATCCAGTAAAATTGACAGTCCCGTGTAAGGAAAAGCAAGTACAAACACATTGTATTAATGCTTAGTATTGTAATAGATTGTTAATTTTGCATTTCCCTTTGTGTCCAGTCTCATTATTCGATTTAACATCATGACTCGATTAGTAAAAGATTTAGAACTAGCTTGTGGTTAATATCTTGACCAAATATCTACCCAGTTAAGTGGACCTATCTAATTACTCAGTTATTAACTGAGTTTCACATGAAAATATCATAGAGTAGATGGGTAAGGAAAAGTATTGGTGTGATGACTGTAGGACATTGTATTGTGAAATTTGTTATGTTTGCAAAGGTGTCTAACGATCTTTACTCCCATACTTATTTGATATATTTAAAAAGACTTCATAATTAAGGAAATGGCATTTTCCACAACTAGAAAAATTTACAAACAAGAGAACGATACAATCACTAATGCTGTGAAGGCTCATGATTTCAGTCTTGCTACAACCAATAATTCAGAATGGTCCATGTTCTTCCCCTAATGGATTGATCTGAATGTAAGGGAAAGACGGGCAAATGAGGATCATCACAGTGTCTTGGCATTTGATGAGTCTGAGACAAGGCTGGTGCTCTGAATACAACCCCTAAACTTACACCAGTCAGAGAAATACAACCCAGGCTCAGGTTGAAACTGCTTGAGAACATTATAGAGAAAGAGAGAGATTAGAGAAGCCACTGATGGACAACATTCCCTAACTGGAACATTCTCTCCAGAAGGTAAGACAGAGAGCGTCAATCACCAAATGGCAAAGAAAATGGATAACAAAGCAGTGGTAAGCGTGCCTGAACCAGAAGTTATACTGGCAAGATATCCATTTATCACTGAACTTAAATATCGAATTAAAGGATATGTTACCAAGTTCACCTCAACATTCTGT